TCCAGAAGGCAGTCTACTGAGGTCCCCTACTCCAGAAGCAGGGCCCTCTAGGCCCTCACCTCCTGAGGGCAGCCCATCAACTTTAGAAGTGCTGGACCATGTCATGCCATATTCATCCCCTGAGGCCAGTCCACTTCCCACAGGCAGGCCTGAGCCTACTGTAGAGGTGAGACCACTGGAGTCAAGGTCTTCTGAGGGCAGTCCACTTGCACTTCCCTCTGAAGGCTGCCCGTGGGAGTCCAGGTGTCCTGAAGCTTCTCCACTGCCTGTGAAGTCACCACTGACTTCAGGTGCCCTGGATGTCTCCCCAGAGCCTGGCAGCTCTGTCCCACTGGGCATTGGGGGTGAAGGTGTGTAAGGCTCCTCTGAGGGGAATGGCTTCTCTGAGGGGAATGGCTTCTCCGAGGCGAATGGCTCTTCCGAGGGGGAGGGCTTCTCCGAGGCCAAGGGCACTTCTGTTGCAGAAGGGCCTTCTGTGCTCTCCTCTGTTGCTGTGCTAGTGGGAGACCATGTAGGAGGGATCCCTGGAGGAAAAGGGGAAGAAAGATGAGGTATGGAGTTAGTAACTCTGCCCCATTTTAAGCTCATGCAGACAAGCTGAATTCCATTCCCTCCACAGTAAAACTTTTCCCTCAAAAGCTCAGAGATATGTCCAAACATTTTCTAATGGAATCTTGCACAGTGTCTCTGGAAAGAAAGTTGGAAGGAAAGGAGGGAAGGAGGGAGAGAGGGGATCAGGAAACTCCCCACCACCCTCAGGCTGTGCTCTGTGAGACTTTAGGGGGCGCCATACACACAACCCACTGGATGTGGGAGCCCAGCTACCACTGAAGGCAATCAAGGTCGCCCTTTTAAGTACTTCCACATCATCATCTCATTTAGCTAAACCAATGGTTCTCAAAGCATGATCCCTGGACCAGCCGTGCCGGCACCACCTGACAGAGCGATAGAAAAACAAATTCTCAGACCCCGCCCCTGTCCCCCTCCCGACGATGCTGAAGCTCACGTGAGTGTGAGCATCATTCATCTAAACACAGCCCTCTGAGGCAGAGGAGGCCGCACGAACCTGGCATTGGGTAAGTGCCCGCTGGGGTGTAGGCTGGTTCCCATTCCGTCCGGTTCTCTGGCTCAATGGTGAAATCTGGGATTGCAGTCGTCTTCTCCCCCAAGGGGACAGCAGCCATGCCAGGTCCTACTTGAGTAGCGATCCAGTCCTCCACGTTAGAGGGCTGTGTGGCTGTGCTACCTTCCTCTTCTCCGGGAGAGAGCGCAGCTGAGACACCTAAAGGGGACGTGGGCGGTGAAGGTTCCGTCTTACCAGTGACCCATCCCAGGGTGGCCCTTCTTGAGGGGGACTAGAGGACTCTGAGGTGGGCCAGGCCTGTGCAAGAGCCTCACCAGGTCTCAACACACCACCTTCACCCCACAGTCCAGTGAGATCAGTTTGGCCTCCTCAACGTATAAGAGCCGTTTGCTTCAGCTATACACTATCAATATGCACAGACCATCAGCACTTTATTTCAGGGTGGTCTGGGGCATCTCTCGTACAGAATTTATCATACGTGCCAGGCACTGTTTAAGGATGTTATGTACATAAAAGCATTTTATCCCATAACAGCCTTATGAGAGAGATGCTATTTTCTTATTTACAGATGGGGAAACCAAGGCACAGAGTTAAGTGACTTGCCAGAGTGTGTGGCTTATAAGTGGCCGATCTAGTCTTTGAAACCCCCCAAGTATCTGGTGTCAGACTCCATGCTGTCAACTACTGCACGAGGCTATTTTTTTGGGGACAGAAATTAGGTGTGAGAGAATCAAAAACAGGTGGGTGCTATTTAAAATCCATGAGGCCATCGTGTCACTGGAAGGGAGAATGTGGGATTCATGGACTGGGGGCAACTGTTCTGGTTTAGGGGAAACCAGCAGTGGGCTTGGTCGGGAAGAAAGCCGACTGTCTCTGAAGTGATATAAAAGTTCACGGAGGGTTGCGGGTGGGGTGGAGGGTGCATGGTTGGGAATTTCCTGGGAGGCAAAATGGCTTGGCTTCTGCTGCCCAGAGCAGGGAGGGGGGTACTGGGGTATGAGCCTCATTAAATCCCGTGAGAGGGAACTGGCCTTCTTGAGGCTGGAGAAGTGGGGATGAACTTTCTTGGAATTGGATTTCAAAAGCGGGCCTTGTTAGTCTGGGGAACTTGGGGACACTCAGGCTCTTTTTTCATTAACTTCACTTTAAAGTAATTATAGATTCACAGGAAGTTACAAAAACACTCAGTTTTGATGTATAGCATGTAAAATATGGCATAAGCTGTTATTACAATCTATATTCTGGTCAGTGTACCCAGACCCACCCTGTGAGAACTCATCCAATCAGAGCCCAGCAATGCCTGCCTTGGGCACAACTTGGCCATGCCCACTGAGTTATTTGATGACGTCACTTCAGAACTCTAACTGATAATGATGGTTGATATGGCAGCCTGTCCTCAGCGTGGGTCAATTAAAAGCATGAATTGCTAGTGCTTAGTGAAGAATAATAGAATCGTTTGACTAAACTCATCACGAAAATATTTACAAGCAGGAGAGAATTTGATAAGGGTGTAGAAATTAAAACAGTACACATATATGTGTTATTTATTTATGATAATCAAGCTAACATTTATTGAGCATTTACTATATCCCAGGCATGATGCCAAATGTTTTCTACGCACTATCCCAGTTCATTCTGACAGCAACTCTTTGAAGTAGGAACTACTATATCGCTATTTTATAGATGAAGCAGAGGAACTGAGAGGTTAAGTGACTTGCCCAGGGTCACACAGCTACTAAGCAGCAGAGTCAGAATTAAAATTCAGATCTGCCTGATTTTAGAGCTCAAGTTCTTACTCACTTCTCTCTACTTGTCTGTGGGAAACTTTAGAAGGATGCATTTGCTTGGGCTCAAAGCCTAGTGCCAGAGCTGTCCCTGTACCAGAGGGACTATTTCTTCCTCGCTCTGATGGATAGGGAGACTGGACAGGGGCCAGGAGGAGCCAGCCCCAGGGTCACCCTGCTACGCAGAAGTGGGGGCTGGAAGAGAGGTGAGGACACTTACCTCGGAAGCAGAAAGCGTGGTGCCGGGACAGCGGGTCCGGGAGGCCTGTCTGGTTGGGGTAGAGGTAGACGGTTCTCACGCCTGGCTTGTCCCCGCCACAGGCAGGCCGAGGGGTGATTATGGGGTAGCGGAGGCTGCCATCGGCCAGCCAGCCAGCATAGCACTTGTCCAGGCCACGGCTCCAGGCGGCATAGAGCTGGCCCGTGGAGGCCAGCGTAGCATTGTGGGATTCACAGAACTCCAGGGCTTCCTGGAAGGTGAACTGCTCCGGGCGTGTGACGAAGAACACTTCCCCTGGGAACAGAGTCACATGGCAGGTGTGTTCACGTCATGGCCAAGGTGGGCCCTGCTCACCCAGAGGCAGGGCACCCTCTGCCACCCTCCTCTGCCAACCCCATCCCTATTCATGGGGTGGGACACCTGCCCCTGGCACACATATGTTAATGACCCCGCCCAGCACAAACACACCCCTCTTTGACCACTCCCCTTAGGTCCCGTGGTATGCTGGGAAATAGGGTGACCAACGGGGATGTCCCAGGAGTTGAGACTTTCAGTGCTAAAACCAGCAAACTTGCAGCCAATCTGAGACGAACTGGACACTCTACATTCCATGCTTCCCTCCTTTCTAGATTCTCCCGTCACACTCCAGCACCCCCCTCCCCAGGCTAAGAGAGGAACCCCCAGGGCACCCTCACATCCCCCTGTGCTCCCCTATATTATAGCACTTATCAGCAAGCACTGTGGACCTGGGGCACCCACC